CTTGTTGCAACATTCTCGGGGTTACATACCTCGGGTATAATAGCTACAAAACTTTTACTTCGGCAAGATACTGACCTGCAAACTTTTTCATAAATTCTACAAGTGTGAAACATATACTACTCAATGTTAACTTTTCAAACTTTTTCTCAAGTTTCAACAAGTGTTTAAACGGTGATTTCGGTCTAGCCTACTTGTAAATTGCTACAAATTTCAACAAGGATTAACATATACTGCACAGGGATCAACAAGGATTAACATTGCAAGTGTTAAACAATAATCTATTTATAAATTGCTACGAATTTCAACAAGTGTTTAAATATACTTAGCTCCTTCCTCAACCAGTAAATTCGCCTTAAATCCCGCCGTTAAAGACTTTAACGGCGGTTTTACAGCCTTTAACAGCGGTAAAAAACCGCCGCTAAAGTCCAATTTTGACGTAATGGACCTTGACTTGAAATCCTTCCCAAGGAAGGGTCTTCGTTCCTCCGCAGGTATCTATCCTTCCATACCTAGAGGTCATCTTCGTTGTAGTATCCGCTTCGATCTGTTGTCTTTGGTGCGTCACCTTCCTGGCCGGCGTCTTTCACTCTGTGACTCTGGTCACGAGTTTCTATGTTGCGGTCGTCCCCTTCTACGTCGAGATCGATAGGTCTCCGACTCCCAACTGGAGCGTTATCTCTAATTTGAGCCTTCTGTTCGTCATTGGCCATCTATTCTTCTTTCTTTCCCACAGACGGCGCCAAATTGTGTGGGTGATTTTCCGACCACACTGCCCGCTTAGTAACCAGCTGGAGAGCACCGGCAGAATAGATGGCACCTGACTGACCCGCAACAGAAATATAAGAATCCCGCGGTGGTTTCGACCACCCGGGGGCACTCCGACAATCAAGTCAGTATATCTCTCAAAGATAAATCAAGTACTAAACTCACAAGCTTGAGTATCAACAGCATACCTTAGACCCATGGGGGTGCCTCTCTTTTATAGCCAACATAAACCTAGTCCCAATAGAAGCCTAACTTTTATGGACTCAGGATTACTGCTAATCTTGGATTCCCAGTAAGATTAGGATAAACTCTCTAAGAGTCTTATCTTAATACAAACTGAAGCCTTCTCTTATTCTAGGACTCTTATCCCTTATCAAGGTTGAGTTCCCTTTTCATTCTAGGACTCTTGTCCCTTATCCACTTATCTCGGATTCCGATATCTTCGGAGATAACCTCGGCCTTGCCGAGATCACCTCGGCGTCACGACCAGGACACGTGGCACCTCGACTGACACGTCGGCGTCACCTTGCTACGTGTTGGTACTCAGAAAATATATTCTAACACCAATAATATTCTAACACCTAAAAAAATTTATATAAAAATTCATTTTCCAAACATAAGTTTGTCTGGTAGTTGGTGACAGAATTTGACTGATAAAATCAATATGGTTGTTGTTGTTGGTGGGGAACCACTCACGCCCACCCGACTAAGACCGCCAGAGCCCACCTAAGAGCTCATAGTTAATTGGTGACAAACCCGACTAAGGCCGTCCGAGCTCAGCCAATAGCTAATAGTCATACAAATAAATTATATTATAAGTCTTTATAATTTAAGATTCATGTCATTTTAATTCTGAATTTTTTAATTATGACATATTTAATTTTTAATTTTGAATTTTATTTTAAATAAGAACAATTGAATATATCATTACTTAATTTTAAGGATAAAATTATCAATTTGATAAAATATAAACTAATTTGATAAAAATAAATATCAAAAAAATATTTTTAAAATTTTAAAATTAGTTTTACCCACCAAAGATAAAATTATGTAAAATTAATAAATTTTTTAGACATTTATTTTTTTCAACCAAATTGATTTTTATTACTTGTTTGGATGATAATCGTATAATGGATGATTGTTAGAATTTTGATGTGTAATCGATATATTTAATATATAAAATGTTTTTAATTTTGAATTTTTTTGATTTAATGGATTGATTTAATAATGATATCAAAGTTGTCGTCATATTTGACTTTTGGAAAAATATAAACTAATTTAATAAAAATAAAACAACTACCCATTACATGATCATAATCCAAACACATAATAAAAATTAATTTAGTAAAATAAATAAGTAAATGTCTAAAAGATTTATCAATTTTACGTAATTTTATTTTTAGTGAGTAGAAATAATTTTTAAAAATTTAAAAATATTTTTTTGACATTTATTTTTGTTAAATTAGTTTATATTTTATCAAATTGACGATTTTGCCATTAAAATTAAGCAATGATATTTTTAATTGTCCTTATTTGGAGTAAGATTCAAAATTCAGGGTCAAATGTGTCACAATTACAAAGTCATAGACTAAAGTGACACAAGTCTCAAACTATAAGGATCGTTAGTATAATTTGCCCTAGTTATAATATAATTTGCCCTAGTTATAATGAAGGGATAATCGGTGATAAGTCAATTTTTATAAAAGTATAGTCTGAAAGTTTAAGAATTTATTTTCTTAGAAATAAGGAAATGATTAATAAAATTATTTAGCAAAAATGACAAAATATTATTTTTTTAGATTTTTTTTTTTTTTTACCTCACTATCGTTAGATTAGATCACCGTTGGATCGTCACCAACATTGGAAAATTTGTCTAAGGTGGCAATTGCGAATGGTGGTGATACAAACAAATTAACAAATAGATAATACATGAATAAATAAATTTGAGGTGGCCGGTTGAGAATTACATCAATCTCTTTTGTTCCTAGGGCAATGTTAGGAATAAAAAATATTTTATCAAAATTTTACATGACACTTCCATGAGTACAAGACCTATATCTATGTAAGATTCACATATATGTAAAAATTTGATAAATATGTTGATAAAATATTTAGGGTGTTTAATATTTAGATCGTTCCTAGGGCACAGAGACTCTCTGCCTCTTCCTCAACAAGTCCAATGAAAACCACCCAAAAAAAAAAAAAAATGATTTGGGCATTGTGGCAGCTGGTTTCATCAATCTTTCTCTATCACGAAGTAGAGAGCTTTAGTTGACATTGTTAATTGTTGTGCTTATCTAGAAAAACTCATATGACACCAATTTGACCAAGCCCGATCCATTTTTCAACTAAATGTGAGTTTCTTCTGGATGTTTTATTTTTTAAGTATTTTAATGTGAACGAGAAATCGTTTGTGAACATGGGCGTGCGGTCTTGCGGTTTATATGGGAGATTCTATAATAAACAACACATCTATGTCTTTGATTATAATTATTGTGATATTAATTTATTATAATGTTAAGTATGACACATTTATAATATTAATTATGACTTACTTTAATTATTATTTAATTATGATTAAAAAAAGGCTTTATTTATTTTTTATGTGATATTTGGTTATGACTTTTTTTTTTTTTTTTTTTTTTTTTTTTTTTTTTTTTTTTTTTAGGAGCATAACCTGAAAAATGCAATATAACTTGTCTTTGTGATGGCCAACGTGCTTTGTTGAGTGAAATTTCTCTGTTAAGTAGGGCTACATTGTAGTCATATTTAAGTCAATTTGTTTAGAAGACTACTGAAAAGTTGCATTGACATTCTCTCCTATGAATTGGAAACTAAAATGCTAGTGCCACCAATAGAATGCCCACGTCAACCAAAACTTACTTGAGCAGAAAAATAACTGGGATTATTTGGTGGAGCATGACCTTTTCAATTGAATCAAAAGAAAAAAGAAAAAAGAAAATCTATAACAAGCAATTGAAAAATCAGTAACAATGAAATTCACAATACTAGGCTAAAATCTCTCAAGGTTGAACGCGACGACTGATGAAGACACCAATATCACACCTTGCTTTGTTGCCTCTTGGCCACTCAGGCAACTGCTGCAAACCTCCCTGTATTACTTTGATCCATTGAAGCCAAAGTTCTTGTTCTTGACTTGATTTGCTGCAGAACACAACCAGAATTACTCTTAGGACATTAGGATGTTGAATGAAGGAATAATGGGGAACACGACTAATCAAACCCAAGATAACTTATTAATAAACACAAATCTGTTTGCTGCAGTTATTCTAAAGCTGAAAAATAATAATGTATAAGTGGAATCTTCAGAATAATCAAATTTTTTCAGCTGCAGAAATTACAGCAAACGGTTTGGCATAGAATCCTAAACTAAAAAAGTCATGCCTAGCCAAGTTAAGCTGCATGCTAAAAATAAAACGGGTAAATTACAAATACATCCCCCCGAGGTTTACTTAAAATATGAATTGCCTTATGTGGTTTGAAAAATTACAAATACCTCCCTGTCAAATTTTTTTATTTAACAGAATTAATTGAAAAACTGAAATTTGTAACTGTTTACCTATACAATAATAAAATTATCTGAATTTTTTAATTAACATTATTAAAAGCTGTTAATTAACTTGATGATTTATTAACAGAAGGATCTATTTGTTATGAAATTAGAAACCTTAGAGAGCATAGTGTAATTTTTAGAACCACAGGGGTTAATTTCTAATTTAAGTAAACCTCAGGGGTGTGTTTGTAATTTACCCCAAAATAAAAAGATTTTGTTCTTTTTACTAATACTAAACATTCATGAAGGACTTCAAATCCAAACTCGCACAGTTCACTTGGCTCAATCTTGAACTAACATCCATGAATTATTCATCATTAACAAAAGTGGCATAACTATCAGATCTTTATCAGGTTTGACGCCAATGTCCCCGAGTTTTAAAGAATCATGCATTCTTGTGCCTTAAAATCAATGAGGTGCCTAACAATGTTGTCAATATTTTCATAATGTAACTTGTACAAAGGCCATGAAACTCATTTTCAGACATTAACACAGCGACCATAGCCATCTCAATTATGCAGCATTCAGAACTTTGAAGCCTAAATATGATAATTATAGCCAAACATCACATGAGAAGTCGTACCTTGTTTCTGTAAGATTTGATTACATCCATTAACAGCTCGTCCCCGGCTTGTTGCCTCAATCTTTGTATCAGTTGGCTGCGCGATAGCTTATTTTCCTGTTACCAAAAGCATAATTAAAAACAACAAGGACTGAAACGAAGAAAAAAGAACATACCACAATATCCGTATGCAGAGAAGAAAATAAAAAATCAGAACTTACTCGGTAATCATTGTGGTATTTGGTAATCAAAACCATCTTTGAGCGAGGCAAAAATTTGGAAAGCATGGACAACAGAGTAGGAAACTTCAGGTATGGCGAATTGGGTTTCAAGACTGGTGTTTGAATTCTTCCAAATCCTAAACAAATAACAGAAAAATCCAAATGAGTTAAGCAATAAAACATATAATTAATTAACAGCAAAAACCAAATGAATTAAGGCAAACAAATCTTTAGAAGCATGGTTTTAAATAGTAGCATTAGGAGACGAATGAGTATAGGTCACATTGTAGAAGTCGTGAAATTTTTGAAGTCATTAGGAACTTCATGACAGTTGAATCTTTCATATGAATTGTGAATAGCTGTATCAACCATGAATCGACAACTGATATGTATCATTTCACGTGCTTTTCATTCTTACTCGTATTTATCAATATCATACCGACCTATATGTAAAACAGAAGACTAGTTAGATTGCATACCTCTGAGAGAGGGAGCTCTGAAACTGACAATGTAACTGGGTAAAATGTGTGAATTCATGTATGCACTCCAAACTATGTATCTTCTTGGTGATGAGAGATTATCAACTCCAGAATCAAATTCCTTAGAACTTGGTTGGAACTGTTTTGAACCAGCACGCACTTCTTCCATCTTCCCCAATATTACACGGCACAGTAACATATGCCTTAATCCATCTTCATCCATAGGAGATGATAACAAACTACAAAAACACACAAATTATTACAAAGAATGAGACATTGAAATTATTCAATCAACTGAAAAAAAGGGTAGGCAAGTAACTGAAATTTTGAATGACAAAAATTGATGAGCTTGGAATAAAAGTGGTCGAAAATAGGGGGGGGGGGAGATTTTCTGGGTTTGTTTAGAATGGATACGGTGAAAAATATATATATTCAACAATTCATATCAATATAGTAATTTGACTTTAAATTTTTTTCCCCTTTACGGCAAAAAGTACAGGAAAATTTGTTTTCTAACGAAAATAGTTAATGAGTATAAAAGGGTCGTTTTGATTAGAACAAAAATATGATAAAAAGTGAAATTTTTTGAGGTTGCATTTGGTTAAGATGAAATTTTTGAAAGAAAATTATAACAGTTAGCTATTTTCAAAAAAAAATAAATTTTCTTGTTTTTCATAAGAAACTAAATAATATGAAATGTATAAGAATTTTTTTTATATTTCCATCATTCTCATACTAAAAAAACAAACCTAAGAAGAGTTTCATTTTTTTTTTTTTTTCCCTCTTTCTTACATTTTCTACTACTTTCTTATACTTTTTATTTATAGTAAAAAAGGGAAAATTCACTTTAAAAAAAAAATTCTCATACTAAAAAACAAACCTACGAAGAGTTTCAAATTTTTTTTTTCTCCCTCTTTCTTACATTTTCTACTACTTTCTTATACTTTTTATTTATAGTAAAAAAAGGCAAAATTCACATTAAAAAAAATTAACTTTACTTTTTACACGTTTTTTTTTGTTAAAATTAAAAAAAAAAAACCATTCCTAAACACTTTGGATCCATTTGGTTTTGTTTTAAAATTATAATTTGAGTGTGAAATTGTATTTTAAGTTTTGAATTTTTAAATTATGATTTAAAAAGAAAAAATTTGTTTAGTTATGAATTTTGAAAATAATTTTAAGATAATTTTTATATATATATATTTTGATTGATGTATAAAATATGAAAAAATGTGAGAGGAGAGAGGATAGATGAGAAAGAAAAAATGGTTGATTGATTGATTAATAACAATAAAAAACAGAATACAAAAATTTTGAATGTAATTTTAAATTATATTTTAAAAATTTATTTAATTATAAATTTTAATTCAAATTATTATTTAAAAACAGAATGAAATTTTGAAAAGTAAACTATACGCTGCCAAATATTTTGTGTAATGATTGAGACTTTATTTTATTTATTTTTTAATCAATCAGTGGAGAATTAGGCCAAATTTGGCATCCTTTAAAAAATTTAAAAAGTTAAAAAGTCACTATCCTATTTAAGTCACATCATCTTATTTAAGTCATATCACCTCTCTAACACATCACTTCAAACCCAACCCAAATCCAACTTATATTTCATAAAAAATTAAAAAATACATTTAAGACTTAATTAAAAAATAAAATTTATAATTATCTTTCTATACAATAATAAAATTACTTAAATTATTAATTAAAACATATTTCTAACATTATCAAAAATTATTAATTGAATTAGTAATTTATTAATAAAAGAGACAATTTATTATGAAATTAATTATGAATTATTCATATTTTAATCAAATTTCATTTTGTAATTTACCCTTTATTTTAGTAAAAAAAATACGAGAAAACAAAATCCTATCCTCCCAAACATGCCTAGATTGAAATAATCTCATTTGTATTCTAATCAAAGGGGATGAATGAGAATTTGGGTGAATTGAAGCTTACCTATCAATGGCAAAATTTGCAGGAGAAAGATGAACCCCAAACCCAGGAGATTCTCTGCAATTGCTAAACCCATGATTTACAATCTCACAAATCTCATCTCTCGAACCCCCAAACCATCCATACTTGATATTCCCATCGCCGCCTTCTTTCTCCGCCACCGCCTCCGCAAATATCCGAAAACTCTCCATCCTCGCTCGCCCCGTCAAGCTCGTATTCGAGTTCCTATGTATCGCAACAACGTTCGTGTCCTCCATAAACTGTCCCATTCCCTTGAGAAAGCTCTTCTTGATGATTCCATAGTCTCCATTCCACTCCTCCAATCTGGTCAATCCATTCCGAGTAAAAACCCCAATTTTCCCGGAACCCAAACAAGGCGAATCGATTTCAGAATCTGTATCTACAATTTCTCTGTCGTCCACTGTCATTGAAACTTGATCTTCCAAACTAATGCGATCCATACCAATTTTTTTTTTTAATTTGTATAACGAAGAATCGAAAGTATTCACCCAAAAAAAAAAAATCGAAAGCAGTGAAAATTTTGATGCGAATTTGAAGATTCAAGAGAGAGAGAGAAAGGGAGAGAAGAATGGGTTTGAAGTTGGTTTCGGGTTTTATATAGGGAGGGAGGGAGAGAGAGAGAGAGAGAGAGGACCAACTTGTGAATACGTGTATGAGTACGTGTTTGTTTTCTGTACGTGTAAGCGAAGGAATGGGGAAAAGGCACCGACTGTCGCACTAATTCGATTCGGTTAAGGGTTCTGTAGGGTCTTGGCGGTTTGTGGCGCTAAACATAGCTTTCGTGCCGCCTTTTTTTTTTTTTTAACAAGGAAATAAACAGAGTAGCCCACACGCTTTTCTTTGCTTCCGGATTTAGGTTTGACCTGTTGAAATTAATGTAATATACTTTGTGTAATTAAATTATAGATAAACTAGAGGTGGGCACGTGTTCAATTTGTATTTGGACTGATAATTATAGGAGCAATTATATGTCGGTGGGATATAGTTTTTTTTATTTTTATCCAAACATGAAACTTGCATCCTCACGATATTTTACTTGCATTTCATTGTAAAATTATTTGTACTCCACATATTTTTTTGTAAATTTTTCTTATTCCCATTGTATTATAATTCTCCTATAATAGTAATTTGTAACTGTTAAAAAAAATTAAATTAATTTATAGAAGTTATCAGATTTTCGGAGCACTTTTAAGAACAAAATTTATGCCATATCAAAGTGCTTATTTTATAATTTCAGAGGATTAGTCTGATAGTCAAGATTCGCACTTGGGGGTATTTATTTTTTTAATCAATATGTTTCGTTTGGGAATATGTTAATTTAGTAATTTTTTAGTTATTTGACTAAAATATGAGCTAAAAAAAATAATATGTTTGTGATGACTTTTTATGAAAAGATGTGCAAAAAGTAGAGAGAAAAGAGAATTTTTGATTTTTTGATATGAGTTGTTGATTTTTTAATTTTTTTAATAACTTTTTGACTTTTTGACTAAACCGGCCTATTGCCAATCAAGGCCTAAGAACTGACTAATGAAAGGAGGAAGAAAAATAAAATTAACATAGCACTTAGGTCTCGTTTGGGAACATGCTAATGTAATAACTTTTTGGCTATTTGGCTAAAATTTGAGCTAAAAAAAACTAGTATGTTTTGGATGACTTTTTGACTTTTTAGGCAAAAATGTACAAAAAGTAGAAAGAAAAGAGAATTTTTGACTTTTTAATATGAATTGTTGATTTTTTAATTTTTTTAGTGACTTTTGACTTTTTTATTAAATAAGTCACTTACCAAACATGGTCTTAAGAGGGTATTTTGGACTTTTGAAATACTTACAACCACCCCCAACATGGAAAGGTATAGAAAGTGGCATTTTGAAGAAACCCCCAGTATAAAATCCAAATCGGAAGTGCTCTGATAACTAAAGAAAATAAGAGCATATCTCATGCCATGTGCGATCCAAAAAAAAAGCTATGTAGATGGTTTTATTGTGATTACTTTCTTTCGAAGCAAGTTTTATTTCATTGAAATCTTATCCTTGAGTTGGATATGTGCATAAGTTCATTCAAAATATTTATTATTATTATTTTGATAATATAAACTCGCCAAACTTTAGATTTTTATCTAATAATAATATTAAATTTGATATTATCTCATTTAATTTGAGCCTAAACCTTGATTTGAATCTATTATTAGAGTAAGCATTTTCTACTTTGATATGGGTAAACCCATAAAGATTATAACCCACCGTTTAAGACCTAATACATATCTCAAATATTAAAGCCCAGCACTGCTAAAGCTCCACATAACAATAAGAACCAATGACATCAAGACACGTGGCGAGAGAAGGACGAGCCACATCAGCAGACAAAGATCTGCAAAATTATTGCCACGGTACATCGCCATTAATGAGGCCTCTTACAGCGTTTATTGTGATAACCCCTTTCCGTCGGGACAGCACGCCCTCACCCTGAACAAGGTAAGCTACAGTATAGACTTTCGGCCAAGGTGACAGGTCGAAAGGGACAACGAAATGATTACCAGAGGATATAAGCAGACGTTGAAGACAAGAAGAAGGTTAAGCTTTTCTATCTCTATTCTATCTCTATATTCCACCTCTCTCTCTCTAACTTGCTCGTCGGAGGGTTCGCTGGGGGACTCTCCGTTCCCTATTGGACTCTTGTGCAGGTTCCCTGGTGGGCTTGATCACCCGGATACCAACTCGAGAAGCGTGGATCAGTCCGATCCGTTCTGCCTAGAACCCTTTATATCATAACTGTAACATCAGTTGGCGCCGTCTATGGAAAAGCTTTGCTCTGCGCGCCAGTTGTGCTCATTGTCGCCGAAGACCCTGTCCCAATTACCTTTTCCTACTACCCATCAAAGTGTATGGTCACGACTAGATCCATGGCTTCTCACCATAATGCTGCCGACCATCAGATTGACCCCCCCAATCCAAACAACCCACCACAATATTTCATCGAGCTTACCAACAGCATTAACCGCATGGCCGAGCAAAACCAAGCCCTGATTAATGCTCTACTCCAAAGAAACCTTCCAATGCCCCCCCCACCACCTCCGGACATTCTTCCCAACCAAGAACGAGCCCCGAGCCATACTACCCCGCAACCTAATCCACCCAACTGGGAAGGCTTGCAACCCTCTCCCCCAGGTATAAACATGCCACCCCGGGGCCCACAACCATCCATCCCGGTACCAATCCCTGAGGGAGAGGCCAACAGCGTCCAGCCTCCGCTGCCCTCCAGTGGTGACAACATTCCTCTCTGGGATGGAGAACTCCGAGCCATGAAGCTCCAACTCCAAGGGGTCATACAGAACATACAACATAAACCATCTACCACAGCCAACTCCCCGTTTTTTGCCTCCATCAGAGATAAACCTCTCCCTCTTGAGTTCAAAATGCCCACCATCGACTCTTTCGACGGTACAACGGACCCAGTCGATCACTTGGAGACCTACAGAACCCTCATGATCCTCCATGCATTCCCCGACGAAATCATGTGTCGAGCTTTCCCCGTAACACTTAAGGGGTCGGCTCGACTTTGGTTTAGTCAGCTCCCAGCAGACTCCGTCTCCACTTTTCAGCACCTCAGCGACTCCTTTCTCAGCCATTTCATAGGGGCCCAACGCCAGCGACTTCCAGCAACCCAACTCCTCAATATCCGTCAGACCGAGGGGGAGTCGCTGCATAGTTTCGTTATATGCTTCAATACCGAAGCCTTGCAGGTAGCAGAAAACGATGACAAGGTCATCCTTACGGCTTTCATGGCCAGCCTACGGTCATCTGATTTCCTCTTTTCACTCCCCAAAAACCCCCCGACCTCCATGGTAGCCTTACTCTCCAAAGCCCAAAAATACATGAACGCAGAAGATTCCCTAGCTGCTCGCCAAGACCCTACAACAAAAAACCTGACCTCCCGAGAAAAGCGAAAAGACTTAGAAGCCAGAAACACCCAGTACAATAACCAAACACGGCATTATACCGACCGACCCACCCGACCCGACCGGTCGGCACCAGCCTGACGCCCGGTCGGTTCAAGCGGTACACACCCCTTAATTCCCCCATGGAACAAGTCCTCAATCAGATCCAGCGGGATTACCCCCTCAAATGGCCCCAACCATCACGAACCCCCTCCAATCAAAAAGACCAGTCCAAATATTGCTGTTTTCACCAAGACCACGGCCATAATATCGATGACTGTGTTAACCTCAAAGATCAGGTCGAGACCTTAATACGTCAGGGACGTCTTAGCCGGTTCACGGATACCCGTCCTTAGCAGAGGCAAAGGACTGAGCCCATCAGAAACAACCACCGACGGACCCCTCCCCGGTAGCCAGCCCAACCTAACCAAGGCCATGATCGCCCCCCACAGCAACCTCGGGCATAAGATAATCCCACCCACCTGTTAGAGAAATCAGAGTTATTTCTGGTGGGCTTGCGTGCGGAGGACCATCCCGCTCGACATAGCGGGCAGAACTCAGAAAAATAAGACAAGGCTCAGACAAAGAAGTTGCCACATTGGATCGACTCTCCAAACACCCCAGGCAGTGGACCGAGCCTATCACCTTTACGGACGCCGACTGCACAGGCATCCGTTATCCTCATGACGACCCTCTCGTCATTTCCGCCCTCCTCTCCAATTACAAGGTCAGACGGGTTCTCGTCGACAACGGCAGTTCTTTAGACATCATCTTCCTCAATTGCTTCCGCTAACACAAGATTGGGAAAGAAAGTCTGTCTCCCCTCCAAACCCCTTTGGTCGGTTTCACTGGCGACCGGGTGACCTCCATCGGCTCCATCGATCTTCCTATCACGATTAGTGAGTACCCCAGGCAGACCACAAAGCTGTTCACCTTCCTCGTTGTCGACTGCCCCTCTGTTTACAACATCATCCTTGGCCGCACCACCCTAAACGCCTTCCAAGCCATCACCTCCACCTTCCATCTTGCCGTCAAGTTCCCCACCAATCTGGGGGTCGGCACAGTCAGGGGAGAGCAAACTGTAACCAGAGAATGCTATGTTGCCTTACTTAAAGAAGTTAAACTTAAGGAAACGATGATCATTGAAGGACTTGACGTTAGGGATAAGGATGAGCTGGTCAGGGGGGAACCAGTGGAAGAGCTTATCGAGGTCGCCATCGACCCCACCAACCCGGCAAAAACTGCCAAGATCGGCAGCCAACTGTCCCCCCAGGCCAAGACCGACCTCACCGCCCTCTTGATTGAGCACAACAACGTGTTTGTCTGGACTCATTCCGATATGCCGGGTATTGATCTCTCCTTCATCAGCCACCATCTCAGTGTTGAGCCCCATTTCCGACCTATCCGTCAGAAGCAACGCATTTTTCACCCGGAACGCAATAATCTTATTGCTTCTGAAGTAGACAAACTCCTTGAGGCACAGTTTATCACTAATGTGGACTACCCCAGATGGCTGTCGAATGTCGTTCTGGTTCGTAAAAACAATGGTAAATGCCGACTCTGTGTCGACTACTCCGACCTTAACCGAGCTTGCCCCAAGTACAGGTACCCTCTCCCTCGCATAGATCTGCTAGTCGACGCCAC